ACGATGACCCGCTGGCGTTGTTGAGCGGCAGCGGAACATTGACGCGGAGACAAGAGAAGTTGGCTAAGAGATTGTCGAGGCAAGCGGAGTTGAAGCGGCTGCGAATGGCGCAAGAGATCCAGCGACAACTGGAAGAGTTGGAAGTGAAGCAGAAAGAGTTGGAGGAAAGGGGTGTTGCAGTCGAGAAAGCGCTCAGGGGAGAAGGAAATGGTGAGAAATGTATTCCTTTGTCGCATTATTTGGCATCTACTTCTCCATCGTGATGATAAACGTGTGAAAATATTGGTCGGCATCATGAGAAAATGTCGGTGAGAAATTTGAATCGATGCAAGTCTATAAAGAGATAATAAACTATCGATCCCCGTGTTTTCCTAAGTGGATGACTCCTCCAGGATTGAGTAAGTTTAATTCAAAGTGAAAAGAAATTCTTTTCTAAATGAATTTCACGATTTTTACTATGGTAATTGCATGATTTGCGTCACTGAAAAGTATCATGACTTTCGGCGTTCTGTAATTTTACGTAGAAAATATGATCAGGAGAACCTAACATTGTGTAGAAGCAAGATTGGCATTTTTATTAGCATTTACTAAGCATTTAACAAACTTTTAGATTTGAGTTATTCTGTTTTGATTTTTATTTTGGAATCTCTGGAGGTGATTTCTTCCTCTGTGGAAAATTTCCCTATGTGCTTTTCTTCTCGGTTTCATTTTCTATTCTTTCGCCACGCCTTTTTTCCGACTTTTATCGATCATGAAAGATGATTTTCGATCATTTGGTTAAATGAGTAGGAAAAAAAACTTCAATCGGAAGACGCCAAGATCTGAACTTTTGCCCAAGTATTCGATATTCCTGACGCAAGCCTTACATTCCTGTCGGCACGTTCCCCGCCCTTTTTTCAGAACACGCGACATTCGTGTCCTTCCATTTCCGGAAAAATTCAGTTTATTTAAAGCGAAGAAAAAGATTACTTTTCTGAATAGTGAACGCGTATTTAATTTACCTGCATATTAGCTGAAGGTAATTCTATACGACGACGTCTTCTCCGGTTGATGCCCCCTCTTTTTTCGTAGTACAGTACTGTACTGTATTATGAGCAGGATTTCATCTCATGTAATCAATTTGTTCTTTAGAGACGGACAACAACAAAGAGGAGACAGAATTGATGGGTGAGTGGTTCGCGTTGGTGCATGAAAAAACGCGACTGGGAAGATATGAGCAAGAGCTTTTGGTGAGAGCCAAGGAACTAGAGTTGGAAGACCGCCAGGCCAGATTGCAACAGGATCTCCGGGAACGACTCACTGTTGATGGTTCGTTGCTCTCTGTTGTTTCCTTTTTTTAAAGCATTTCAAAGGACCGGGTTTTTACATTCAGGAAAAGTTTCTCGTTTCTAAAGAACTTGAGGATTTTAATTGGGAAGAGATTATTCAGGAAATTAGGGAGTCGCAATTTGCACAGAGTGCGCGGTAATTGCTTATTTTTGGTACAATTTGTTTCACTGAGTCGATGAGAGCTTGGTTTCTTTATTTGCACTGAAAATGAACGGTATTTGTGAGCACAGAAGGTTTGAGTTGTTGAATGATTCGGTTTTTTTTGTTTCGCTTACTTTACTTTGATGAATCCCTGTTTTTCACGTGGACTGCATCTTGCTTACTTCCTCGCCTTCTGCTTCATATTTTTTTTCTTCCTTCACTTCCACACCTTCCCCTTGCTTTTTTACTGGACCTGTAACGCAGATGAGATGAAAACTAAGGACGACATCGAAGCAGAGCGAGAGATCCTGAACGAGATGATGGAGATTGTGGAACAAAGGGATACTTTGTTGGACATGATGGAGGAGGACAGGCTGAGGTACAGGAGTTTGGGTCATGCGAAGACGAGCCTTGAAGCTGGGCCGTGTGTCCGGCCTAATGCCGGGTTCTGGGTCCTTGTTGCCTTGGGCGTGGTTGTGGTGTGCCTGTCGCATGTTCTTGCCCCTCTTCTTGTCCATGTCTCTCGCTGATCCTGTGTACAGTTTGATTTGCTCGTCGTTCGGTTTGTTCTTTCCGGATCAGCCCTTCCAACCTCATTTAGTTTTCTCTCTTCCTTTTATTTTATGTGAGATGTACGTCGGACATTTTCTTGGACTCAATTTTTCTCCAACGTGAATACTTGGAGGATCCTAGGGACTATTTTCGAGGGTATTGTCGAGATAATATTCTCTCGCGTCGTTTGTAATACTCTCTTGTACTTCCTAATTCGCATGTCAAGCTAAGGTAATCACAGTCGGCAGTTAGGTTTCAAATATTATGTTATTTTTTTTTCGGTTGACGACTACTCGGTTTAAAATCCAGACTGTATTTCCCGAGCATCGCCCATTTTATGAGAGAAGATGATCGTTGTAAATTATGTCTGGAAATTTAGAAGATGCGAGGGATGATTCGCATATGGAGTCCAGAAAGTTATTGTGTCCTACGAAGTTTGCAATGACATGAAATCCGCATAATTTTTCTTTACCTTTACTGTACTGCGTTTCCACTTCAGAGAAATTTTCTGGAATTTTAACTAAAATATCTTTTGTGCAACTTTACTTCTAATTAAACTTGCCTTGAATCATTTTTACTGCATGGTCACTTTTTGGACGACCCACATTTTAAAATACCGACGTTGTTGTATTGCAAATATAGTTGAGTCCTTTTTCTCCTGAGAATTTTTCTTCGCTAGTTGGGTAATGTTATGCTTCACGGTAGTTCACACTTCACTGAGTAGAAGTGAACTTTCTCATGCAACAAGATCATTGGGATCAGAAAAAAAAAGCCNGCCGGAAGGACCAGAATTGTGCTTTTTCGCGTTGCGACCTCTGCTGAAGTCGGTATTTGTATCTACTTAGCCATTTAACGGCGAGCTTTTATTCGCTGATGCGACGAGTGCAGCTACTTGGCTGGATTTTAATTGCTGGTGAAAAAATTGGAATTTTCTGCGTGAACGGTAACTCATTTTACTAGACTACTTGCGAAGAATCGTGGCATTTTTAGCGAGAAATCCTGCATATTATATTTTGTCAAGTCGGTATTTAATTGTCGGAACCGCGTAGCGTATTGGACAACGATGATTTCTGTTAGTGCTGATGGGCCATCAAGCAGTTGGACTTCTAAGGAGTGTGGATCAATTTTTGTTTTATTCTCATATCGCGTGCAACGATGTGTGGAATTTTATTGTTTTCCGGTTTGTCTAATGTTTGAGACTATACGCGCGATGTGATACTGTGGTTTGGCGTCAATATCAATCCGTTTTATAATTGCGCCCTTTTTTTGAAAATTAAAGGTGAGAACAAAAAACTTTCTGCAAAGATTATGTCCTCTTTTTCTTCCCCGTCATTCCCAGGAAAAACGTAAGAATTCGATTTTAAAATCGGGATTCCTGTCGCTAATGGACTGAAAGTGCGAAAACATTTGGATTGAGGTGAAAGATGCCATTTTGAAATACTGTATTGTATTTATTAATTTAGATGAGAGGAATCTGATAGCTTTGTGAGATATTTTTGTTGCCTTGTGTTACTGAAGTTAAGTTAGCTAGGAAATCAGCAGAAGCATGATTTGAACCAGTGTTCGTTTTTTTTTCAACTCCAAATCAACATGCAAAATGCCTTGCAAACTTGTTTACGCATGTAACAAGGGATTGCACCTCATTTCGGGGACTTATTAATTAACATTAACAATCTCACTGTCCTACGCAAAATATGCCTCGCTGCAAAATTTGATAATAAACTTGACCATCGCGTGTCGGGTCTAGTGAGGAAGAATTTGTCATCAGGCCATCGCAGCTAGTGAACTTTACGATTGACCCTCAAAAGTGAAATGTTGACTTTCTCCCGTTCAGGTTCACAGGACAGTCAAAATGTGAATACACTATTATGTGAACCAGACTAATTGTGAAGATGTACTCAGTACTTTGCTGACCTCATCACGGCCTTCATCACCCCCAAGTGTTTAACGAGAGATCAATTTATCCGAAAATTCCTCTGCAAATTTAACATACAATATTTGCTGATTGGCATGGCCTTCAGCAGTCTGATATACTTAGTGTATATTACATAGAGCAGCTAGTATATACTGTACACTTCTACAGCATTTTGATGACGTCAGTGACTCATCAACGCAAGCAAAGTAAAGGAGTGACATCTATATCTGTATGCACGCTTTGCTTGCACAGGATGTGCACAATATCAAATGGGGCTCATTACGTATGATTCTCGTCTGTTTTAAAATATAAATGAGCATGACATGAGCGAAGTATTATCGGATTTTATTGAAAGCCGCTTGCATCGGTCGTCATTGCTCCTCGATTCCCCCATAATATTTTCGTCGAAATCTTCCCGCTGAATCCTCGCTTTTTTTTTTTTC